GCTAAGGCTCTCACTGGATAACTCGCCTCTCTCCTTTTGCCCCTTCAGACTTTCCACAGATGCTTCACCACCTTTTTTGGTTCCCTTGACTCTACACACACCTCTGTCAATACTCCCTTCGTTAAACTCTCCTCCAGTCCCTCAGTTAGAGATGTCATCTATTTTCTGCCACAGAAAGCAGGTGGCCTCTAGCAGTTGGTACATCTCTCTCTAGCCTCCACCTCTATCACCCATCTGAAAACAGCCACTCAACCTCTCCCATGGAGCCAATCTCACCACCTGAGATTTCACAAGACACCCTTCACACACACACACCCCACCACCACCAGCTCCACATGCATACACACACAAACAGAGCCAGGCCAGACCAGGCTAACATCCCCCCACTAGGCCCTCTCACTCTCCACATCCACATTTTTACTCTAATAATGACAATATTTCTTAATATGTTTAGGTCTATTGACCCTTCCACTCTGCTACCTTCATTAAACTACAAAAAAAAAAAATCAAAACAAAATAGAACAACAAAAATTTCCCCAATTGCTCCTATCTTAAAATCATTGCTCCTTTATTTTGTGTTTTTCATCACTTATTATCATACACTTATTTATGAATTCATTCAACAATATTCACTGAGAGTCTACCACATACCAGGCAGTCATTTCAGGTGCTGGGAATATTATAGTAAGTATGACTTACATGGCCAATGCCCTATGTATTTTCTCTTCTTTTCCAACTTAAATATTAAATGCTAGAGGCCCAGTGTACGAATTTGTGCACCAGTGAGGTCCATCGGCCTGGCCTGCAGGATCAGGCTGAAATTGGCTCTCCAACATCCCCCGATGGGTCCCAGATTTTGAGAGGGCATAGGCCAGGCTGAGGGACCCCACTGGTGCATGATCGGGGCAGGGGAGGGACCGTAGGAGGGCTCCAGGTGTGTCTGGCTCATCTCGCTCAGTCCTGATCTGCCAGACCCCAGCAGCAAGCTAACCTACCGGATGGAGCATCTATCCCCTGGTGGATAGTGCACATCATAGCAACTGGTCGACTGCTCGACTGTCTACTCCCTGGTGGTCAGTACACATCATAGTGAGTGGTTGAGAGGCCTTAGCATATCATTAGCATATTACGCTTTGATTGGTTGAACGGCCGACTGCTCACTTAGCATATTAGGTTTTTATTATATGGGATAAGGGATTTTCAGAAGTACTGGTAAAAAACCATGTCTTCTACAAATCTTTGGGCAGTGCTAGACACATTACAGATTCTCAACAGTTTCTTGATAAAATTATGCTTAAAAATTGATGGAGAGAAGAAAGTCTCCTGAAGCATCTTTAGGGCCAGTATAGACCCATAACAATGCTGCTCATTAAAGCGAGAATTAAGAACAACAATGATAGCTGATATTGCTAAAGATAAAGTAAAATGAGCATTCCCATAAACAACTAAAGTAAGTATGAATCAGTGCTATTTTTCTGTATGACAATTTGCTTAAACACCACAAGCAAGCTTGTGACTCAACTAATTGCCTTCCAGAAACAAATCCTAGGAACATAATTAACGATGAGCCTAAAGATATAGTTAGAAGTAGGTTCATGAATAATTTGTAATTTTAAAAAATGGTAATAAGCTAAGTGTTCAATAATATTCAATTATATGGAACACCATATAATGAAATATTACAAATGATTACAGATAATGTCATATCATACTTTTCATGACATGCACATATTCACAATATATTATTACCTGGAAAAAACAACAACAACAAAAAAAACAGGGATACAGAGTTGTATGGAGGATAACCCACTTTTTCTTTCTAAAAAATTTAAGGTATGCAAAGGAAAAGGTCTAAAATAGCACTGTCCAATAAAAATATAATACAAGACACCTATGCAATTTTAATGTGTGTAGTAGTCACATTATAAAAAGGAAAAACAGTTCTTTGGTCTCAGTCGCTGAAGCAAGATAATGAAGGGAACATCATCGTTTGGAAAGCATCACAATAAAATGCACAGGTTGTGCCACTGCTGTGGCTCTAAGGCTGCCACCTTCAGACGTCTACCTGTGCAAACCTGGCTACCCTGCCTGGAGGAAGCCAAAGTATAACTGGAGTGCCAAGGCTAAAAAGACGAACTACCACTGGGACGGGTTAAAGGAGGCCCCAGAAACCATGCAGCGCAGATTCGGGCATGAGTTCCGTGAAGGAAGGACACATAAATCCAAGAGGGCAGTTGTTGCAGCAGCCAATCCACCCTAAGGATTTCAGTGATTATTCGCACAATAAATGTTCTGGCTTTTAAAAGACTAAAAACAGTCCTAGCCGGTTTGGCTCAGTGGATAAAGCATTGGCCTGAGGACTGAAAGGTCCCAGGTTCAATTCCAGTCAAGGGGACATGCCTGGGCTGCGGGCTTGATCCCCAGTAGGGGGCATGCAGGAGGCAGCCAATCAATGATTCTCTCTCATCATTGATGTTTCTATCTCTCTCTCCTCTCCCTTCCTCTCTGGAATAAAAAATATATATTTAAAAAATAATAAATAAATTAAAAACAAATTGGTGAAATTCATTTAGTGATATATTTTAATTAATCAAACATACACAAAATAATAATAGTTTAAAGTCTTTGTTTCTATATGAAGCAGTTGAAATCATGTGTGTAGTTTGCACTCATAGCACATGTCGATTGAGCGTTGCCTTATTTTAAAGGTTCATGAGCCACACCTGGCTGATGGCTACTAGATTGGACAGCTCTGGTGAGCCTTAAAAGCAGATGTGGAGAGTAGGAATTTGTATAATTTTTACTTTCTTTTTTTTCTCTCTTCTTTTACAATTATCATTTACAATTTTGCTATTGACATATACTACTTCTGTAAAATAAAAATAAAGCTGTTTCTAAATATTAAGACCAGGGGCATTTTTTGTCTCTGGAATACCTCTTGGCTCATGGTCTCTGCAGTTCACAGGCTACATGCTTCCTCAAACTAGAAGAATGACTCCTTTTCTTCTCCTCCCTTTACGTATATTTTGAATAGCTGCCTAGCTTCAGCCCTCAGGCATGTGAGGAAGGATCAAACTTGCTGCTCTTCAGAGCCCTTGCTAAGTGAGCCCCTGCTTTGCAGTGTTGCAACCGGAACCTATGAGGACTCCAGGCACTGTTTTAGCAGCTCTCCTGGGCTTGTGGAGGGCACGGCGTGGGCCCAGAAGCCACTTAATTTGAGGTTAATTAAATAATGACGACAAGCCTTAATCTCCAACTTGTCATCAGATTGTAAACACTGATCGCAGCTGCAGCAATCGGCAATTGAGAAATTCTCATTGAGAGAAATCTTGACCAGAATGAAATGAGTACATTTGTTATCCAGATGAAGCTGAGAGGCAAGATCTGAGAAATCCAGGGCCTTGTAAAACCAGGAGACATGGAACTGGAAAGAGAAACTACAGGAGAAGAATGTGTCAGTTCAGATTCCTATCCCCCCACCCCTCCCAAAAACATCACTTGATCTCATGCACAGAGAGGCTTAGAAAAAAAGAGAATGGACTGAGAACTTGGAAGAAATTGAAAAAGCTCTCCCTCTATTATCTACTGATGGGGTTTCCATGGAAATATGTGTGAGCCACTGCACATGCTGGGCCTCGGGACAGATGGCTAACCACCAGAAGTGAGCTCCAGCTCTTCACTAGAGGGGCACAAGTATAATAGTTACAGGGTGTTAGGTACCTACCACGAGTCAGGCACTTCACAGGTAATTTATCTGATAATTGCCACAATGATTTTATAAGATGAACATGCTTTCTCCATTTTAAAGGATAAAATGCCAAATCTCAATGAAGTATCCTGCCTTGCTAAGGCCATGCAAAATATGGGTTCAGGCTGTTCTGCCTCAGCTTTGAGACAATAGTGAGGAAGTGAAAAAGATGAAAGAACTGTGAAGTTCATGAGGAAGATGGAAAGAAAAAGAGGAAACATTCCCCAAAGAGGATCTAGGAGGTTAGACGCCTGGTAAAGAGTCTGAGAGGCAGGTGAATGTTCTGAGACCATGTTCTGGGTGCACCTGTGACAGCACCCTTCCCTCCCTGACACAGAGAGCACCTTCTCATTCTCTCAGACCTGGTGCCGGGCCAGTGTGCACCTCTTCTGTGAAGTTTCCCAAAACCACCTGGTAAGATCAGCACTGTTTTATATAAACAAAGAGAGGTGCATTGGGCGGGAGATGACTGATGTGAGGGGCTAGACACCTTGTCATTTATAAAAAGAAACAACAAAAAAAGTTAAAAGAAGTGAGAATCTTAACCTGAGGATGAGAAAAAATGGAGTAGGGAGAGAACCATGACAGCTTTGTCAAATAGTTAATGGAATACCATGTAAGGTTTTCATCCATGTACTGTTCCCTAAAGTCTTTTGGAACAAGACAGAACATTCATTCGTTGGTTCACTAGTGCTGTGGTCGATCTGAGGAAATGAACAGTGAGCCAAAGCAGACACCAATCTGAGGGCGGGACACATACATCTCACAGGAACAACGGAGTCAAAATAAAAGATCACACAACTAACTGGAACATTGAGATAAGTGCTTCAAATAATGGGTAAATGGGATTTTATGACTTCATACAGGACAAAACAGGAACCAAGAAAGAGAATATGCAGGAATAAGCTTCAGTTCACTATGTGGAAGAACTTTCAAACAAACCACACACCCCAGAAATGACCCCATGAACAAGCACACTTCCCTAAAGCCTTAGATGTGCCCAGGCTGACATCTGGGCACACATGAGTGCAGCCCCTGGGTGACCTCTCAAGTCTTCCTCAGCTCTAAGAACCTGTGACTCTGTCATGCTAAACAAAATATTTTCTCAGATGGCAATTAGAACTTGCCAGGGAGAATTTCCAAGAGACTTAGGAAATTTATGCAGAAAAGAATAATTTTCTATGTATAGGGCAGTCAAGCAAAACTGAATCTCCTAAACTGCTCACTAGCACTGATGTTCTTGTCTTCCCAGCACTGATGCACCAGCACTCTGCACCTGCCCGCCCAGCACTGATGCACCAGCACTCTGCACCTGCCTGCCCAGCACTGAGGCACCAGCACCCTGCACCTGCCCGCCCAGCACTCTGCACCTGCCCATCCAGCACTGATGCACCAGCACTCTGCACCTGCCCGCCCAGCACTGATGCACCAGCACTCTGCACCTGCCTGCCCAGCACTGATGCACCAGCACTCTGCACCTGCCCTCCCAGCACTGATGCACTTCTGTGTTACTCACTGCTCTGCAATCTCATGAGGACAGAGGATGATAGTCTTGTTCATCACTGGATCATCACTTCATGGCACATAGCACATATTAAGTATTTTTAAATGAACAAATAAATTCTATACTAAAATGTGCTAATGCAAACAATTATATATAAGTGTAGGTTACTAATATAAACTCTCTTCTACTGTTTCAAACCTTATAATTGAACTTTCTTGAATAATTCATGATTATGAAAGTCAATCACATGCCTCATGATTAATAGCTAGAGTTCCTTGTCCAAGCAGCCACTTAGTTCCATTAAAAATTAATAATTTTCTACAGAATAAATATACACTATACATAGTACATCAAGAGTTCCACTTTTAATAAGCAATTAAGTAATGCAGAAGACTAAGAATCTATTAACTAAGTGAGAAATCCATGAACTTGCCCTCCAAGTCATCATTCATTTACTACCCATTTCGCTTCTAAAAATTTTAAATTATTTATCCAGGTAAAAATATAGTTCTGAAAACAGAATAAATAACACTAATAGGTTGTCATATTTGGTTAACATTTGCAGGCCGACACAATGTATTTTTCTTAAGGATTTGAGATAGGCTATTCCTTCTGTGAAATGAAGAATGCATTAGAGAAGATCAATACACAACTGAGGCACTACATGTAAAATGTTAACGGTCTATTCATTGAAAAATTATGAACCATGCTATAGAGAACTTAGCCAGATAAGAGCTAAATTAAATTATTGATCTACATTCATTTTCCCCCTTTCTGTGTGACTATGTTCTGATTTTTTATAACATACATTATTGCCTATACAGTAAATGAATCATCTTATTCTAGGCCCAGCATGTCTGCTGACTGACAATTTTCTAAAATTAATTGTCACTTTGGTAGCATTCAGATTTATAAATGTTTCCCTCACATAAACATCTAAATGTTTAACATAAACTTGATAAGTTTTTGTAGCCTGAACTCAAAGGAAAAGAGAGTAATTTTCATTTTTCCAATGCAAATAAAAATGAAATGTTATTTTTCTTAACGTCATTTCACACCATTATGGTTCTTGATACATTTCATAGATGAGGCCAAAATGTATTCACTTGCCTTTTTAAAAATGACTTAACTGTATTGCTAAGCAGAGTGATGCAATCAACACTGTAAATTGAAGTCATTTAAATTTTCAGAACTGAATCTTCCCCAAGATGTGTAATCTCAAGCTCCATAAGCAGTTTTACCAGTAGCGTTGGGGGTTCCTTTAACTACAAAGAGTTCTTCTCCCCAATCAGCCTCCCAAAGGACAGAAGAATGTCCTGAGTTAGGATTTTCTCTTACCTGCTGAAAAGGGGAAATGGGTAATATTTTGTAAGAAATGGAAATTCCACAGACCCAGTTTAATTCACACAAAAAAAGGGAGCTGACATAAGAGTTCTTGGGAGAAATGACCTTTGATTTGGGGCTGAATGTCACCAGCAACTTTCGGCTACTGAGAAAATATCTTGTCTTTAACGAAGCAGTGTCAGTTACTGAGGCCTCTTCATTTTCTCTAAGGGAGGCACCATCATTCTGACTTGTGCTCCAAAGGGAGCAGAAATTAGCCCTAATTGTAGGTGAACATTTATATCAAAATACAACCACATGAGGTCTTAGATTCTGAGGAGAAAACCATGGGAGCTCGCGCAATGTTTGCCTCCCTCAGGTAGAGAAAGGGTTCGCTGCTTTCTCTCCACACCTATGGTCCCCCGAGGAGCTCTGGGCACTGGGGCCTGTCCTGCAGGCTCACACAAATGCCAGGCCCTGTCGCTGCTGGGATGGGATTTCAGACTCCCAGCAGGCCAGAGGGCTCTGTCTCTCCACAGGTCAGCTCCAAAGCTGAGTGCCCTTTGCACTGGAAATCAATGTCATCCAAGGAAAACTGCAGGAGAAAGTTAAATACCAGCATCAAAAGTCTCTTGTGTAGCAGGCCCTCCCCACTGTGTTTCTGCCAGGTGATAAGAAGCAATGAGGAAAACAGCAAACAAGGGCTGAAGAGAGAAAAAAAATCAAAGAATTGCAGAATTTGAGAGCTGGAAAGGGGCAAAGTCTCAAGTAGGGAAAGAATCCAGTGTCCTACTGTGCGGAAATGTAGACGCTGTCTAGGGAAGGGCAAACAGGCTCCCTATCAGGAGGCCCAGCTAAAGGGCAGCGATCCCCTAGGAAGTTCCTTCACCAGATTTGGTACCCTGGGCCTTGGTGTTCTCATAGGAGGCCCACCTCCTCCAAACAGAACTCCTTCCATCACTGAGTAACCACAATTTGTCCTAAAAACCTGCATCATTTTTCTCATTGCTAATTAAAATACATTGTAACAAATAAGCACATGAAAAGAATTTTTTTAAAAGTTATTCTATTTCTTTCACTCAGAAAATTATAGGTGGATAATCTTTCAGTCTCTATGTATTCATCTTAGGTTGACCATATAAAATTTCCATTGTGCAGATAAAAAAAACCAACATAGTCAATTATCAGTAATTCCATATCTCAACTTATTACACATACACACATTATATCAAAAATTCCTTTCTGTTGCTTTTCTTTTAATTAACCAAGATTCATAAGCAGCTTTCCACATTATGAAGTAATACTATAACAAATTCTCTTGTACACACTTCTTTACCAAAACCTCTGATTATTTCCTTAGGAAACACCCCTAGATATAGAATTGTTAGGTCAAAAGATATAGATACATGCATTCATTTATATATTGCCTAAGGCTGCTTTTGCCCAATAACAGCAGAGTTGAAACAGAGACAGAAAGCCTACAATATTTAGTCTCTCACCCTCTCCAGAAAATGTTTGCCAACCATGGACCTAGAGTCTACAATTAGCTAGAGACAGACATTCACAATAGGACATCTATTCCACAATAGGACACAGGCTCCATCTTATAAAATGCACCATGACTACAAGCAGATCGTTTCATATATTTTCTACTCTTAAGCATATTTTAATCAGCCTAAAGGTTGTATGTCATATAACTTAACTTACCATTAGAATAATAATAAAGAACACTATTAGAGACATGTAGCTCCATTATTTTTAACTACAGAAATTATTATAACCTAAGATATCAATGGGAACCAAATAAAACAAAATGAGATGTTATAAAATCTCATTTCTTGCATAATAATCTGTAATAAATATAAATATATATGTTCTTAAATTTTTAATATAAAATTTGATTATTATATAAAAAGACTAAAAGATTTCATTTCTTGGGTCTGTGATTTGAAAGAGCTATGAATATGAAATAGGATTCCCTTTACTCATGAGTAAGACTCAAACTTAGCTAAGGAAAAAACACATTGAACTTTTTATTGAAAAAGAATCCTGCAGACAACATCTAAATTTTTATAAATTCCTTGTTAATTAGACTTTAATCTCCATAACTATACCATATGCTGGAAAAGCATCCAAATACAAACCCTGTGAGACGGTTTTACTGCCATTACTTTAAGAGCCATTTAAAAGATTTTCTATGGGATAAAGATTGGGTAATTTATCATGGTTTTATGCTCCTTTAATCTGCTCTGTCTTCCCATTGTAAAATAAATATTGGTTTTAAAATAAATGGTTCTGCCCAGGTTTTGATGAGAAAAATTGACCTGTAAATCACAAGCTCACTTTTGCCAAATGCTAAGTCCAACATTAAGTCCAGCCCACTCTGACAAAAAATAAGTCAATTTTATAGAACAAAACCTAAGGAAGACAATTACTTAAGTATATTATCAATACTGCAATGTAAATAATTTGAGATCTGAGCTTCTCTATCCCCTGCTTTTTAATTCTTAATATAGCCACTAGTTGATGACAAACTGATCCTTTAATTAAACTTTTAAAAATAAATTCTTTACCATAGTATACATTATATTCTCTCCAACTCTAATATACAAGTTATATAACTTTAAATAAATATAAGCAAAATCTGACGGTTATATAATAACATCTTTTTTTAAGGTTTTTATTGATTTTTTCAGAGCGCGAGGAAGGGAGAGGGAGAGAGAGAAAAAACGGCTGATGAAAGAGAAACATGATCTGCTGCCTCCTGCATGCCCTCTACCAGTGATTGAACCGGCAACCTGGGCATGTGCCCTGACCTGGAATCTAACCAGTGACCTCTTGGTAAATGGGATGAGGTTCAACCAACTGAGCCACACCAGCCATGGCAAGAATATCTTTATCAACCACTTTTTTCGTACTCAGAAGGACAAATCAATTTAACGGTCACTTCCTTCGAATATTTCACAGAGCTCTGAGAAACTGACCATGTACATATTTTCTTATAATAAACACAATGGCTAAAATACTCGAAAAGATATGAATGGCTTAAAGCAGTGCTTTGCAAACTATCTGTGATAGAACAGTAGTTGACTGTATTTTTCATTTCCAATATGTTGTGGGTTGATAATCCATTTGCAAAATACAATAAAAAATGCACTTGGTTATTGTGGCAATGCCAAATTGCTATAACATTTCTAAACCAGCACTGTCCAGCATGACATATAACGTGAGCCACACGGGTCATTTTAGACTTTCTAGTAAACACATAAATACCATAAAAAGAAACAGATGAGATTAATTTTAATAATATTTTATGTAACCCAACATATGCACAATCTTATCATTTCAACATCAAATCAATATAAAAATATAATTGAGATAGTTTACATTCTTTTTGTAATAGTATTTTCAAAATCCGGTGTGCATTGTACACTTGCAGAGCATTTCAATTCGGCTAGGCCTTGTTTCACATATTCAACAGGCACGTGTAGCTAGTAGCACCTAGTCTGCACAGTGCAGTTCTAGTACTACTCGCACTTTTGCACCTCCCTCCCCACACTTTAGTAGTGCTGTCTACACCACTGCTTCCTTCAGGATGGCATCTCTAAGCTTCTCTTCCGTGATTTTCTCCTGATGTTTTATAATTGAGGGCTCCATTCCAGA